CATGCTGGATTATAGACATAATATCAAGTTCCCAAACAGTTTAAACATGGTGGATTATAGACATAATATCAAGTTCCCAAACAGTTTAAACATGCTGGATTATAGATATAATATCAAGTTCTCAATCAGTTTAAACATGCTGGATTAAAGACATAATATCAAGTTCTCAAACAGTTTAAACATGCTGGATTCTAGACATAATATCAAGTTCTCAAACAGTTTAAACATGCTGGATTATAGACATAATATCAAGTTCTCAAACAGTTTAAACATGCTGGATTATAAACATTATATCAAGTTCTCAAACAGTTTAAACATGCTGGATTATAGACATTATATCAAATTCCTCAACAGTTTAAACATGCTGGATTATAGATGTAATATCAAGTTCTCAAACAGTTTAAACTTGCTGGATTATAGACATAATATCAAGTTCCCAAACAATTTAAACATGCTGGATTCTAGACTTAATATTAAGTTCCCAAACAGTTTAAATATGCTGGATTCTAGACATAATATCAAGTGCCCAAACGGTTTAAACATGCTGGATTCTAGACGTAATATCAAATTCCCAAACAGTTTAAACATGCTGGATTCTAGACATAATATCAAATTCCCAAAAAGTTTAAACATGCTGGATTCTAGACATTATATCAAGTTCCCAAACAGTTTAAACATGCTGGATTCTAGACGTAATATCAAATTCCCAAACAGTTTAAACATGCTGGATTCTAGACGTAATATCAAATTCCCAAACAGTTTAAACATGCTGGATTGTAGACTTAATGTCAAGTTCTCAAACAGTTTAAACATGATGGATTCTAGACATTATATCAAATTCCTCAACAGTTTAAACATGCTGGATTATAGATGTAATATCAAGTTCCCAAACAGTTTAAACATGCTGGATTGTAGACTTAATGTCAAGTTCTCAAACAGTTTAAACATGATGGATTCTAGACATTATATCAAATTCCTCAACAGTTTAAACATGCTGGATTATAGATGTAATATCAAGTTCCCAAACAGTTTAAACATGCTGGATTATAGACATAATATCAAGTTCCCAAACAGTTTAACCATGCTGGATTCTAGACATAATGTCAAATTCTCAAACAGTTTAAGCATACTGGATTATAGACATAATATCAAGTTCCCAAACAGTTTAAACATCCTGGATTATAGACATAATATCAAGTTCTCAAACAGTTTAAACATACTGGATTATAGACATAATATCAAGTTCTCAAAGAGTTTAAACATACTGGATTATAGACATAATATCAAGTTCACAAACAGTTTAAACATGCTGGATTATAGACATAATATCAAGTTCTCAAACAGTTTAAGCATACTGGATTATAGACATAATATCAAGTTCACAAAAAGTTTAAACATGCTGGATTCTAGACATAATGTCAAGTTCTCAAACAGTTTAAACATGCTGGATTATAGACATAATATCAAGTTCTCAAACAGTTTAAACATACTAACTGGTTTCAATATGTACGCAGAGTATACAAGACCGCAATTGACTTTCCTTGCATTACAACCTTGATGAAGAGTAACTTAATTAAAATTACAACATCAGTCAACTTCAAGGCCACTGGTAGTCTGGTAACTTGAAAACCTACATGAATCATGACGATTAAATTGATGAGCTCAACTATGTAAGAGTTGATTACTATGATGAGGTTCTGGTTTATCTCAAGGATGGAGTTTTTGAACCTCCTCAACATCCATGTAAACAGGTTGCAAAGGAGGAGGAGGAGAAGGAACAAGAGGAAGAGCAAGGGACGTACTTTAAATTCTACAGTTGGAGAGTTTAAAACATATTCGGTAGTATTACTTGATTGGTTCATTTCCTCCCTGGAGCTGCGGTTAAACTATTTGAACGCAGAGCAAAGATAAAACCTCGGAACATCTAGCAAGTTCTCCGATCTTTCTCTCATGCTCTCCGATCTTTCTCTCAAGTTCTCCGACCTCTCTCTCAATTTATCCGACCTTTTTCTCAGGTTCTTAAGCTTTATCTCAGGTTCTCCCACTATTCTATCGGGTTCTCCGACTTTTCTTTCCGGTTCTCAGACCTTTCTTTCAGGTTCTCCGACTTTTCTTTCAGGTTCTCCGACTTTTCTTTCAGGTTCTCAGACCTTTCTTTCAGGTTCTGCAACCTTTCTCTCAGGTTCTCTGAGCTCTCTATTAGGTTCTCCGACCTCTTTCAAAGGTTTTCCGAAATTTCTCCCAATTTCTCCGGCCTCTCTCTCGCAGGTTCTCTGACCTTTCTATCACTTTCTCCGACTTCCCTCTCAGGTTCACCGACCTTTCTTTCAGTTCCTCCCAAGAATTTCTCTCAGGTGCTCAGATCTTTCTTTTAGGTTCTCTGACCTTTCTATCAGGTTCTCCTAACTTTCTCTCAGGTTCTCCGACCTGGCTTTCAGGTTCTCCGACATTTCTCTCAGGATCTTTTAACTTTCTCTCAGGTTCTCCGACTTTTCTTTCAGGTTCTCCGATATTTCTCTCAGGATTTCCTAACTTTCTCTCAGGTTCTCCGATCTTTCTTTCAGGTTCTCCAACATTTCTCTGCTGGTGTCCTAACAGGTTCTCTGACTTCGCTCAAATATGCACCAGAGGTGAACATGGGGGGAGGGAAGGCAAATCAAATTCGCTTCTTTGGACATTGATAAATAACCAGACTAAGCACATTTCTAAATTCCGTGTTTCAGCATAACTCCCCAAACAGCATTTGAGGCAAGCTGGTCCAGAGGTTCAGGAGTTATAACCTGAGACCCAAACTTATAACTTTTTATGAAACGGTTATACATACAGTGAAACCCTTAATAACGAATACATCGGAAGAATTTATCAAATGTTTTATACTATATTACGTAAATTTCAGTATTTGCGAAAATAAGTAAATAGCCATGAATATGCGGGAATAGTTTTAAAGAGTTCCATATAATCATTTAATTAAAAAACTAAATATCTGCAACATTCAAATATCAGATAGTGAAGAATACGACATTTGATGAATTCTTTCGATGTATTCGTTATTAAGGGTTTCACTGTATATAGAGCAAAGAGCACTAATACCAAAGAACGTAGCGTCCATACAAATTCAGAAAGTTGCATTATTCGATAAAATCGTTAAAAAATCAATTTAATTCCATACACCCCCTTTCATTTTTCGCGAACACTCTCTTTAACATGTATGATTCTTGAAACAATTACCAAATAATTATCCTAGCCCTTGCATTTCCTAAATGTGGTCTGCCTTTTTTTGTGATATCAATATTACCGGAGATATTAAGAATTTTTTTCAGTTTTCAATTCTGTTTAGATAAAACCAAAATTGTTGAATTCTGAACGAAATTCTTCCTATCTCATGAGATATTTAAAGCACAAAAAAAGGCAGACCAAATTTTGGTAATGTCAGGACTATTTTGTGTTTATTATCTCTAGAATTTGGCTTATAAAATCAGGTGGACAAATAAATGCAGTTAAAAATCAAGACGACCTTCAAATCGTCTTGATATTTTCATGTTTTGTGGGACACCCTGTATCTTAGGAGAATGAAAATTCAATTTAGAATCTGGGCACTTTACTAGGGTGTATACTGTATACAGGGCGACACTAGGGGGAGGGCCGAAAGAGGACATAAATTGCGCAAAATTTAGCTTTAGATTCAGAATATTTAGATTGAATATCATACACTTCCACAACTCTATTTAGTATATACGCCATAGAGAAGTATCTAAGGAGAAGAACTAAAGGGAGTGTTCGCGAAAAATGAGAGGTGGTGTAAACTGATATAATATTTTACTTTAATCTGTTACGTATATAAGAAGAAAATGATTAAAAACGTCCTATACTAAGGAGCATAGCGTGAATAACAATTTAAATCGTAAACAATCCAATTCAATTTGAAATTATCCATTTTGATATTTCAACCTATAAATGTCGAATTCAATTCAATAGCCAGAAAACAATAGAATAGGAAGACGACATTATAGCAATTATAGCATTTGAGGTTGTTACAAAGCAAATATTTTCCTACACACTTGATAAATTACTAATAAAGTGAAATGGGTCTGTTTAAACTCCACAATTGCTGTGTCTCATGTTCATTAGACTATTTAGGAGGTATAATTTGAGCCTAAAAGTCGTCTTCCATTTCCTACTTTTAAACGACGTGAAATCCCTATAATATCGTGAGTAAACCCATCTAGCGGCCGAATAATCGTCAATTAAAGTTCAAAGTGAAAGTAAGAGTATGCAGACCTGGCTTTAACCCGGATATATCATGTTTTACACAACTATTGCAGGCGAAAACTCCACTTCTGAATCGCAAAATTCAAGTTTTGTGTAAAAAGTATCATGAAGGATAAGGGAAGATTGCCTTTTGATTCCCCCCCCTCCCCAAAAAAAGTCATTAAACATTCTTTCTGAAGTTTCATCCTGTGTAGATGATTTATAAAATAATCTAAAAAATATTTTCAAAGGTTGCTAAAATTTTCATTTTAATAAATCCGATATAATTTATTAGTATGATTCAAATAATCTTGGTTACAGTTAACTCTGAAGAAACGTTGTTTTCTTTTATAGACATTTTATTTCTTCCCAAGCTCCTCGTTCCGTTCAGCAGCCGCCTAGTATTAATTGATTACACTTTTCCCGGTAAATCCTTTTACCGATTCAGATCTTGCAAAGCTTGGACCCATTTGTGTACAAGTTAAAGGCATTTTTTGCTTAATTTACAGTTTCGTCATTTTTTTTCAATTTAAAAAATACAAAAAACTTGAAGGAACTGGGATTACTTCTAATTTGCCCTGGAAGACGACTACAATGGCGTAACTGGTAAAGCTGCAAATTCTACGTTACTTTGATATTTATTACAGTTACACCAGTTATGGTGACATGCATACAGACTTTTTCAAGTTTTTGCTTAATAAACAATATTATATTTATTTTATAAAAAGATAAATCAAATAAAATGGTATTTTTCAAATCAAAACCTTAAGCTTAGCAGGATGCTTCCCTTCCTTGGCTGCTTCAAGAACCATAGTAGCTGCTCCCCGCACCATAGCTGCTGAATGCTCCATGGCCAGGTCCCTGTAACAATCATTAAATTAACACAAACAATTATTAGTTATGAAATTATTTAAAAGCTTGGAAAATTATTTCAATCGGAGATTTTCGGGAAAATACATGATTTTTCGGAAAATACATAATTTTTTTGAAAATACATGATTTTTGGGAAAATACATGATTTTTGAGAAAATACATGATTTTTTGGGAAAATACATGATTTTTAGGAAAATACATGATTTCTGGGAAAATACATGATTTTGGGATAATACATGATTTTTGGGAAAATACATGATTTTTGGGAAAATCCACGATTTTTGAGAAAAAAATGATTTTTGGGAAAAAAATGATTTTTGGGAAAATGTATGATTTTTGGGAAAATACACGATTTTTGAGAAAATACATGATTTTTAGGAAGGTGTAATAAAGAACAAGTAGTGTTTTACAGAAGCGCAATTTATTTGCTCGATGGAAAATCTTAGAGATCATGAACTTATTTTCTATTTAAAAATATTTCAAAAAGAGACAAACCTTTGCAACTACTTAAAATACCATTATATATATAAAATTTCCCTCCTTTAAAGGTCAGGAGACTCCCCCCCCCCCCTCCTTAACTTATGGATATTTTATAATTAATTTGCAGTTTGAATTTTATCTTCTGTTTTGAATTCGACTGTTATTAGTAGTACTTTAAGAGATTACTCTCCTACTTTAAAATATTAATATTACACAACAAGTCTGTACTATTACTCAAAGATCTGAGACCACAAAATAGTCTAAATTTCATTTTGTTTTTTACCAAAGAATTTTCATTTTCATTTACATATTTCTAGGATAGTACGAGCAGGCGTTTAACAGGAATGGTGTTTAAACCTAAAAGATTTAAAAAATAAAATTTGATATATTTAAAATCTGTCATCATGATGATGTTTAAAATTAATCATATTAATTAGAAAAGCACGGTTTTTTGTAAACCTCTTCCCCTCCCGTTCACCGGCCCAAAGGAACAGTTATCGTAATTCGTTACGACTTTCCATGTCCGATTTACGACACCACAACTGTAGCTTTAGAAGCTTGAGTCTGATCAAGCGTGAAATATCAATACGTATCTCTTTCAAAATGGATTATTTTGAAGCATGGACTCCATGCAAAATTTAACAGTAATGAACAATTTTAGGTTTAAAGAAGGATGGCATATATAAATTTAGCTAGTCTGGGTGTCTGTCTGTTTGTTTGTTTGTTTGTACGTTTGTATCCAATAAACGCCAAAATGGCTGAACCGATAGGGCCAAAAGTTGTTAATACATTATACTTGAACCCAGGGAGATTGAAAGTTTATGGATGACATTATTGACATTGATTANATCTATTATTGTTTACAAATTCCGCCCAAAGAGAACTGGTTTCAATATGTACGCAGAGTATACAAGACCGCAATTGACTTTCCTTGCATTACAACCTTGATGAAGAGTAACTTAATTAAAATTACAACATCAGTCAACTTCAAGGCCACTGGTAGTCTGGTAACTTGAAAACCTACATGAATCATGACGATTAAATTGATGAGCTCAACTATGTAAGAGTTGATTACTATGATGAGGTTCTGGTTTATCTCAAGGATGGAGTTTTTGAACCTCCTCAACATCCATGTAAACAGGTTGCAAAGGAGGAGGAGGAGAAGGAACAAGAGGAAGAGCAAGGGACGTACTTTAAATTCTACAGTTGGAGAGTTTAAAACATATTCGGTAGTATTACTTGATTGGTTCATTTCCTCCCTGGAGCTGCGGTTAAACTATTTGAGCGCAGAGCAAAGATAAAAAACCTCGGATTATCTATTAAGTTCTCCAACCTTTCTCTCAGGTTATCTGATCTTTCTCTCAGGTTCTCCGACATTTCTCTTATATTCTCCGACTTTTCTCTCAGGTACTCCGGCATTTCTCTCAGGTATTCCGACATTTGACTTATGTTCTCCGACCTTTCTCTCAGGTTTTCTGACCTTCTTCTCAAGTATTCCGACATTTCTCTTATGTTCTCCGACCTTTAACTCAGGTTCTCTGACCTTTCTCTCAGATACTTCGACATTTCTCTCATGTTCTCCGACCTTTAACTCAGGTTCTCTGACCTTTCTCTCAGGTACTTCGACATTTCTCTCAGGTTCTCCGACATTTCTCTCAGGTACTCCGACATTTCTCTCATGTTATCCGACATTTCTCTCATGTTCTCCGACCTTTCTCTCAGGTACTCCGACATTTCACTCATGTTCTCCGACCTTTCTCTCAGGTACTCCGACATTTCTCTCATGTTCTCCGACATTTCTCGTAGGTTCTCCGACATTTCTCTCATGTTCTTCGACCTTTCTCTCAGGTACTCCGACATTTCTCTCATTTTCTCCGACCTTTTTCTCATGTTCTCCGACATTTCTCTTAGGTTCTCCGACATTTCTCTCATGTTCTTCGACCTTTATCTCAGGTTTCCCGACATTTCTTTCAGGTTCTCCGACCTTTCTCTCAGGTTGTTAACTTTTATTTCAGGTTCTGCGTCCTTTCTCTCAGGTACTCCACCATTTCTCTCATGTTCTCCTACCTTTCTCTCAGGTTCTCTGACCTTTCTCTCAGGTACTACTCCGACATTTTTTCTCAGGTTCTCCGACATTTCTCTCATTTTTTCCGACCTTTCTCTCAGGTTCTCTGACATTTCTCTCATGTTCTACGACATTTCTCTCATGTTTTCCGACATTTCTCTCAGGTTCTCTGACATTTCTCTCATGTTCTCCGACATTTCTCTCAGGTTCTAAACTTTTCTTTCAGGTTCTGTGACCTTTTTCTCAGGTACTCCGACATTTCTCTCATGCTCTCCTACCTTTATCTTAGGTTCTCCGGCCTGTCTCTCAGGTTCTCAACCTTTCTCTCAGGTTCTCCTACCTCTTTCTAAGGTTTTCCGAAATCTCTCCCAATTTCTCCGACCTTTCCCTCAGGTTCTCTGGCCTCTCTCTCGCAGGTTCTCCTATCTTTCTCCCAGATTCCCTGACCTTTTTATCAGGTTCTCCGACTTTCCTCTCAGGTTCTCCAACCTTTCACTCAAGTGGTCATTTTGGAGGTCATATTATGTCAATGGAGCACTCATACCGTTATGGCGAATCGTTTCTTACTATTTTTTGTCTATGTATGCTAAAGAAAATCCGCCGAATTTAGAGTAAAAAGTTCATAATTTTTTTTTGCCCCGACCACAGTTCTCTCCAAGTGATAGATCGTTTATCTATAAACTTTACACCGTACATTCAACTGGGAGAAGGAATACTAGATTTCTTAATATTCGAAGAGATTTTACGGTCAAATTCCCTCAATCCATAAGAATCTTTTCATTATAAATTTGTAAACCCTGTAATAATTATTTATCATTATTCATTTCGTTATTTTTTTTAGGAAATAAAGAGTTTTCTGCATTATCGATTTTGATTCGTGGATTATACCTTGTCTATCTGTTCATCGTCAGAATCTTGTTCCTTTGCGACAACAATGGGTTCTACTTCTAGTGGATAATATCTGACGGTGAACTTTTTAGGATTCAGTGCATTTTGCCAGAATATGTAAGGAGGCATATAAAAAGCCAACCAGTTAGCATTTTTTAAAAAGCAGTACACACCTCTGCCAGGGAAAAGAAAACAGTTTTTGTTATTTGTTGTTTAAAGAAAATAAATATTATAGTTGTCTAGTTTAGTTGCTGCATTAACTGAGTTGGTTCATGCACAGCTGTTAGCCATAGAAAAGTAATTTTTCAATTAACTTTCCCAGCTTTCTACCTCTTTCCATTCGTGATTTCCTATTTGAACCCTCTCCGCCAAGGTAACTCCTTAAAGTTTTAACATTTGCTATTGGTCTCTTGGCCGTATGTATTTATTGTGTAGCCATATAATTAGATATTATTAGCTCTCGTCAGAGCGCGGCGTGGCTACCATTGGACATTCAATAATAACATGTGATTCTGCTAGGTTGATATGGAGTCCAAATGTTTCGCAGTGTTGGCAATATTCAAATTTAAATTCATATCGGTTTTTGTACCGGTTGCCGAATTGAGCATTTCCTCCCCTGACTTGGCATAACATTTTACTTGCTTGTGAATCCTTAATGTGTTCTTGCATTTTAATACTCAATACAAATGCTACCGCTTTTAGTGTTATAGCAGCTTGCAAGTGGGATTTCTTTTAAAATTTTAAATTTAACCTACTTCAGACTGAATTTTCATCCATGATTTAGTTTTAAGAGGGTAGGATTTTTTTGTCTTTATAATATTAAAAAAAAAAGCTTGTTTGTTAAGGATACTATATCCTCTACAGTAGAGGAGGGAAGGATTTCTTCTCTGATCTCAATATTTTTCATTTTAATTTCTTTCTCTGGTTTTCAGTCAAACTCTCTTCAATGTCAATGTAAGTAAAGAGAGTGCTGAGAATATTTTACCCCCTAGTTTTTAGTTTCTACACTTTGCCAAATTTGAACAGAAAACTTAAGGAAAAAACGAACCAACTTAATGCACATTACTATCTCCATATTAGAAGTAGTAGAGAGGGGGGTTGCCGGTTGATATCATAATTCAAGTTCAGTTAATCTTCATGGCAGAAACAATCTCTAAAACTGACGAGGGTTAACCCAGACTGAAATATATTTTCAATAAATGTGGAACTAACATCTATTTTTTACTCTACAGAGGTTTGGTCCATTAACAATCACCATCACCAATTGAGAGTTACTTTAAAATATGAAATTGTTGTGATGGGTAAGTAAATCTATAGATGAAGGGTTTCTTCAAAATTACGTCTCAGACCTTTTTAATGAATTTATTCATTTGAGAAGATGAGGTATTATTTTCAAAATTTTTATGAGAGAAAAAACTAATGTATGCATTAGTTTGCCCAGGAAACCTTAATTTTTTAATTATCATTCTATCTCAAATATTAACATTCACTTGAAAAAAAACTAATTAATATAAAATAAAATATTTACATGAAACCTTGATGAATGTAAGTGGTGTCCATTAAACAGTTAGAACTGATTATTCTCAACCAAAGAAGGAATTTTTCATAATATTCCAAAATATTCTAACAGTTAGTGACATGTTAGTGAATGTAAAAGGCAGCGCCACCAGGGACTGGGTCTAAAAGCTTTCCCCCCCTTTCCCCCAACCAAAACAAATTTTAAAAATATTTAAAAGATCATTTCAAATGCTAATAATAACTAAAAACAATGACATTAATATAAAAGTTTTATGCGCAGAATTTAAGAACCGAAAAATAATGAATTAGTGGGGAAAAGTATCAAGAGGGTGAAAAGAAACACAATGCCCGTTGATATCTAATTTAAATTGTTTACCCAGAGCATGAAAACTCACTTCATTGAAAATATATACTCCTGTTTTATCCGAGAATAAGATATAAGACATATTAAGGCTGGCTCGTCAACGGTCAAAATATGTTTGAATTAAAATCGAACTCAAAGATGCAAAATTATATTTTCAATACAATAACAAAGAAGACGACAGCATCAAGAGAAGAAAAGAACACCTTCTAATAATGGTAGGTTTAGCCCATGTCTGATTCAAATAAAGGGTTATATATCAGTGCCTAGGAATAGGATCCATTTAATTTTGATTCGGATCCGGATCAATATATATCTCTTTCAAAATAGATTATTTTGAAGCATGGACTCAATACAAAATTTAACAGTAAAGAAAAATTTTAGGTTCAAAGAAGGACGACATCTTTATATAAATTTAGCTTGTCTGGGTGTTTGTTTGTTTGTTTGTCTGTTGGTTTGCATTCAATAAACGTCCAAACGGCTGAATAGATCGGGCCCAAATTTTGTGGGGACCTCACGTGACCCCAGGAAAGGTTTATGCAAAATCAAAATTTTAAAAATTTGTATATAAAGTTTTTTATTTGTGTAAATTTTTAAAATGCGCGAAAAAATATTATGAAATCCGCAAACTTTTTTTGTTTTTGTTTTATACTGTACAAAGAGAAGATGCTCACAGATAAAGCCACAATTAAAAGTTGAAATAGAAGATTGGCGCGAAGAGCCCTAAATGCCTATTAGTACTCAATATTTTTGAACAGAGAAAGGTTTCAAGAGTACAGTTGTGAACCAGACGTTCTCTTCTTTTTTATGAGAATGTAACTTTATTTACAAGGTCAGTTCATTTAATATGTTTAATTTTTACCTTGGTAGACCCATCATGACACCACCATCAGCTAAAGCCTCTATAACCTAGAAATAGGATTTTACTTAATTACTGGCTAAAGTGCCTGGCGTTGCCCGTGGAAAAAGTCAATTTGTTTTCAGTCTATTTTACTCAACGGGCACCCATGTGTTCCCTAAAAAGAATTCAGCTCATTCGGTCCAGCTGTGTGGCTAGCTTTAGCTAACATATATACAAATATATGAGCGAAGAGAATTTTCATATAGATAATCTGTACTTTCCAGTAGTTTTAAGGATCCTGTTAATTTTCACGATGATTCAAATTCTAATAAAATATTCTTTTTTTATTCACAATATTGTTATTATTTTCACTTGATATTGTTATTGTGTTGATTTGATAAATGAATTTAAGAAATTAGCCATCATTCCGTGGAAATAGGATTTTACGTACACATTATGATCTGCACTTCCCACTAGTTCTTAGGATCCTTTTAATTTTGAAATTGATCAGATTAAGATTTTAAGGAACCGTTGTGAATCCGGTATTCCCATCTTTGCCCGGAGGGTCACTTAAAGTTTTGCTCCCACTTCACCTGGTAAATGTAAGCTGGTCCAGACCCTGCCATGGCAGCAAACGCATTCTGAAGTCTCTCAGGAATCTCGACAGCTCTAAAACGAACAAAATTCATTTAATTATTTAGTTGTAACATCAAAGTCAAGGGATCAAGGGGAAAAATAGATGTTTCGCGCAGAACTGAAGGGGTTTCAACAACTAGATGTTTGTTGGAGGACTGGAGGGGTTTCAACAACTATATGTTTGGAGGAGGACTGGAGGGGTTTCAACAACTAGATGTTTGCGCGCAGAACTGGAGGGGTTTCAACAACTAGATGTTTGGCGGAGGACTGGAGGGGTTTCAACAACTAGATGTTTGTTGGAGGACTGGAGGGGTTTCAACAACTAGATGTTTGTTGGAGGACTGGAGGGGTTTCAACAACTAGATGTTTGTTGGAGGACTGGAGGGGTTTCAACAAATAGAAGTTTGGAAGAGGACTGGAGGGGTTTCAACAAATAGATGTTTGGTGGAGGACTGGAGGGGTTTCAACAACTAGATGTTTGGTGGAGGACTGGATGGGTTTATTTCTTAAAAAAAACTTTTTAATTAAAAATTACTATTGTGCAATGTGGTAATGTAGTTTGTGTAGCTTCTTTTATTATGTAGTTTGTGCAGCTTCTTGTATTATGTAGTTTGTGCAGCTTCATGTATTATGTAGAAGTTTAAGATCATATTTGTTTATTTGCTTAATGGAACCAAATAAACCGAATAAAGGACAGTTGAGAAAATGAAGGACGAGTATAAAATAACTGTTCAATTATTTTCTGCACTAGAAATAGTACTTTACCCTAGTCTAATAGAGGGTCTTTAGGATTTGTGAATAGTGGCGTTTATCGATATCACTTTTTTTATAAAGCATTAAGGTAAAATTAGCTGAAAGGGCCAGTCATATTATACTTTTTTTATTTACCATTTTTTACTATGCACGTTTTTTCACCTTTTCTCTTTCTAAGTTTTGAAGATAAAAACCTAAAAACTTCTACATTAAATATTGTTAAAAGCTTGTTATACAGTTTCTGATATGCTGATACTTTTCTAGATTAAGCTAAAAATGGTCAAAAAGGAAAAAAATAAAACGGTAAAATGGCGAGACAATTTTGAAAGAAAGCACATTTGGGATTTTTTCTGGAAAAACTTTTAAAATTAAATAAATATTAGAAATATACCTCTCAATTAGTTCAAGCTTCCAGCACACAAACTACAGGACAAGAGACTTAAACTACATTTTAGTAAGATAAAACAGATTCTAAAAGTTAAAATCGAAATTATGTGCTGCAGCAATACAGAAAAATACGTAGAATTACGCTTCAGTAGTTTTTAATATTCAAGACAAATTTAATTTGATGTTTAATCAAAACTTTGTGTTAAGGTTGTTAATCGTTTTTGAAAACGATTGTTAAACTATCGTTTTTTGTTTCGTTTTTCAATCGTGTTCAAAAACGATCGTTTCGTTTTTGAAAAAAACGATCGTTTTTAAAAACGACCCACTTGTTTTTAACTTTTAGAAAACGTTCGTTTTATAAAAACGATCGCTGTTAAACCCCAACCTTGAGGCTTATGATATCAAGAAACCTTCATAAAATAAGGATAAATCGCTACCTCGGATTCATCCTGCTGACGCTAGAACGGAACCTTTCTGCTGTGATCGTCCGACTCCTCTTATACCATATATCTCTGTAAGATCCAGCAATCGTCGTTCGTTCTAAATTGTAAATACATTATCATACTAAAAAGGATAGATTTATATCAAAAAGAAAATATTACTAAAATCACATAAATACAACTATTACTAATACTAAACTGCTAAAGAATACTAAAACCCGCTCGTCCTCGGCTCGACTCCATTTTCTCCATATGAAGGTTTGTATAAATATCGGTCCGAAGACTTAGTTAAAATTCTAAAAGCCTTGGTTACCTCAAATTGCGTCACAACTCATCTAAAAACCTTGACGAACAAATCCTCACTCGTCGCCGTATATCTAGATCATCCTTCTGAAACTATTGACTACTTAAAACCCTTTTTAATTCGAGAAAACAATAATATTTAACTTTCCACTACCGCGCGCTAAATTGAACTCAGGGGGAGTTTCTCTGCCTAGCGGTAACCAGAACTCAACTCTCGCTCCGGTATTGCGCATATTTTAAGTCGTCTTCACACAAAGAGCAATCAATCAAGATCTATGAGTAAACTTGGCCTTTTTTCCCTTTGCTTATAACCCGTCGACTTTGTACAACACATCGTCTGACGGTTCCGGTCTCCGCTTTTGTCTTTTATTCAATCATAAACCTTACTCCATTATTCATCAAGTAAACCCTCCCCCTTCCGCGGTGCTCATACTCAAGCCCGGAGTCATTTCAATACTTTCGACATTATTTCTTCACCTTCAACTTTTATTCTTCTATACAATTGATACAAAACAATCCTCTATTAGGTATATTTCTCATCTCGACCCGGGTTCCATAATATTACTCCGGGTCCTGATAAAGTAGGCTGGGTTTTCCCCTTTTTAAACCAGAGAGAATACTCAGAACTCAAAACCCACAAAACAATCGCTTTTGAAACAACGATCGTTTTTGAAAAAAAAATTTAATGACAATTATGTCAATAATAATTAATGAATGGACGTCGTTAACGATCCTTAACGAAGGGTTGCCGTTAAAGAGCGTTAACGAAACGACGAACATTATAAAAACGGTCGTTTTTGGAATAACGATTTTGAAAAAAAATACATGCAACTCTTTTGAATGTCGCCTTGAAAGTTAAAAAGTTGAGGGGGAGCTAAAACTTCTTGATATTTTCTTTAAAACTACTCAACGATAAGTACAGATGCCCTTCAGGTCGGTTTCCTCTCTTCGTTAACGATCGTTAATGAAGGGTCGTTGTTAAACATCGTTAACGAAGCATCGTCATTAACGATCGTTAACGAAACGACGATTTTTATACAAACGATCGTTTTGAAAAACGACCATTTTTAAAAAACTAATTTTTTGAAAAAACGATGGTTTCGTTTTCGATTTTTCATCGTCGTTTTTATAACGAAACGATCGTTTTTCAAAAAACTGTAAACGTTTACATCCCTAGTTAATATGAGATTTGAAAAACTTGATTTTCAAATTACCCTTTCAAAGTGTTTCTTTTTATTATTTTTAAAATTTCTAAAATATCATTTTCATGATTAAATGTTATTTTTTATTATTTTTAAAATTTCTAATTTTAAAATATCATTTTCATGATTAAAATTTCAAATTAGTTTGACTAATTTGTCTAAATCTTGGAAAACTTGATTCATGATTTGAACGAGCAATTGTTGACCTTTAAAACACTCAAAAATTTTACTGAAAAATATTTATAGCTAATCTTTAAATATTTAGAGAAACTTTTCATGTTTTTTTAAATCTTAAAAATTCAAATCTATTTTTTCAATTCATTTTATTTTGCCATTTCTCCGGTGTCATGACTGGAGCGATCTGCTACCTGGAGCGGACTCGGGTTCTACGTGGCTAAAGCTACGCGGCAAAGCGCAAGCTTCTTCAAATATAAACAAACACTTTGTATTTATGGATCAGATTTGGTTCAATCCTAATATCGGATTTTTTGGTCCCCTTGAATAAAAGGTGTCTCCGAAAAAAGTGTGTTTATAGGCTTTTAGCCTACAAAACATCATTGTTTTGTGTTAAAAAGTACTTCTTGTAGGTATAATACCCATACAGGAGGGAGGGGGGAGGGTCGTGGATGAAACGTCCAGGGGGCGGAAACTTCATATGTGTGTGCCTGTACCAAAAGAGTGTGTGTAAAGTTTACCAAACCGAAGGTGTGTACTGTAGGTATATACAGTACATACGAATCTTGGTATTTGTACAGTCATGGAGAGTACATTTGTTTATTGTTAACTGTTTACTTAAAAATAAGTTTAATATACATGTATTATATTATTTATATATTTAAGTCAACACTAAATGCCAAATTTTCATGCAAAGAATATAATTTGATTAAAGTTTACAATAAACTAGTCGTTATTCAAGCTTAATTTTAATTGACAACATTGTTCTGCAATTTCCTTGACTGTAGTCAAGTTGTGTGTCTGTACCAAAAGAGTGTGTGTAAAGTTTACCGAACTTGTCTGCAAAGCAGTGTGACTGGTTTTTTCATGTCAGGCTCGCGCCATTTCAATAAATAGGTCACTCCAACACTCCCTTCTCTAAACTTAACATATAAATAGATCACTCCTACACTCTTTTCACTAACATCAACATATAAATAGGTCACTCTGACATTCCCTTCACAAACTTCAACATATAAATAGATCACTACAACAGTTTCTTCTCTAAACTTAACATATAAATAGGTCACTCCAATACTTCCTTCTCTAAACTTAACAAATAAATAAGTCATTTTGACACTCCCTTCTCTAAACTACACATAAAAATAGGTCACTTTGACACCCCCTTATCTAAACTAGACATATAAATAGGTCACTCCTTCACTCCCTTCACTATTCTAAAAATATAATTAGGCTGACATTTGACTGAACGATTATTTATGCCTTACAGCAATCTTCATTCTTCAGTAGTAAATCTTTTTCAACTAAAAGTTAGTTTTACAGTTCAGTTAGCAGATTAAAAAAAAAGTTGCATCACAAATGTTTCCTTGTTATCATAAAAATAAATAAATCACAAATAGGCAATGTAAAAACTCTCATATCCAAATAATGGTTATACATTTACAGATAACTTTCACTTCACTGATTTAGAAAATTATTATATGAAGATGTGTGGACATTTTTATGTATCAATATGATTGCTGAAAAGTAAGTAAGTTATTTTAGGGAGATTGTGAGGAGGAAGCAGTCCAATTTTAATAGATTTTACTCTAGGAATATAGAAATCGATTTGCGTTTTTTATATTTTTTGACAATTTGAAATCTTTTTTAATTTTAATTTATAATTCCTAATTTTCTTGAAGGGGAGTATGTGCAAAGCCCAAAAAGCTTACGCTGTGTGACAAATTCTAGGTAACCCCATCAATAGACAAATAGCTTTCTTTTGCACTGATTCTATCTTATCAATATTTTTGTTAGAAGTTAGCATTACAAATGTTGAACTAAACTCTACATGAGAGTGAATTAAGGAGTAATAAAGCAATTTCATGGTTTTAAAGCTTAAGAAGTTTTTAATTTTTCATAACATAAAGTGAAAAAGTTAATTACCTGTATATCTTATTAAATTAGTCATTAAAGTTTAATTTAGTATCCAGTCATATTCCCAAGAAGCTAACTGAATCTGTTTCCTTTATGCGTTTAATTTTTTGTGTAGTTTTGTAAAATCTAAACTATAATTTTAGGACAAATTACAGAAGACTGTGATCAACTCAAGAACTATATATGCAGGATGATTAAATAATCGAGAACATTCCCTTCAGCCTGTCAATCTATTAGTTATATCAATATTTTAAAAATGTAATTTTTATCTGTATTTAAAACTGAGATAACATGTAAACCAGATTTTAATCAAGTTTTTAAAGAAAACTAATATTTTCACATTTTTTATGTATAAACCTTGTAAACAACTATTTAATCCCAAGCTTTCACTCACAATATAAAGATCGTCATGTTGCAGATGATCATGGGAGATCAAGATCATTAAGACTCCCTAATCCTATCTCAAGAAGTGATCCTGTTATCCGAATAACATTCTAGGTACATATTAGTTATCAAAACTTCAAGCAGAGATCAAATTAAGGACTAGTTCATTAATTGTGTTGCAGTTGTTTGATCCAGTTGATCATCAAGAGTTGATCAGTATAACCCAGAGTTCTTGAGGCTCCAAAAGAGGCTCGGGTAGTCTCACAAGCACAAGCAGGTTAATAAACAGAACTTATCGAAATGTATTCATATATGGAGAAGATAATTGACGTTGAAACGTGATTTCAACTGATTGATCTTTAAATGTGAAACTTGACTGATACGAAAAATCTTTACCAGAGATGCCTATCTACAGTTTGATAAACAACTTTATCCTACATCTTATATTTACCCATCTACACTCCCTAGGCCAGTTTTTTAAAAAAGATCTTAAGGTGATCTAGAGGGATCTACAGCACACAGCTAGTCTGGAAAACNCAGGTAGACTGAGATTGTACAGGATAAATAGCAGCACTGAGATCCTTCAAGGTGACCCCAGCCATGATGGAAACCCACAATCTATCGTTGAAGCTCTTTCCCTGATATGGACAAATTTAATCCTAAAAATCACTTTTTTCGCCAAATTTTAAAAACCCAAAACCCTTATAAAAATATTTTTGCTGCTCCAGCTCCCCACACAGAGCACCCCATATCATATAAAATCATTTCCTAGCTTTATAAATACCAAAATAAACACATAATACTCGAAAAACCTAGCATTTTCTGCAAGACGATTTTTATATTAGCCTTTACTTAATTTTTCAAAATATTTCATCCATCTTAAATTTTCCGAAAATCGAAATTTACACCCTTTAACGATCTGATATGATGTGGGACACCCTGTACAGTGTACAGTGTCCATAACATATGAAAAAAAAGTTTATTTGATTGGGACACCCTGTTAAAACTCTGTAAATTACAAAATATACCTTGAAGGGTTCCAGTACTGTTGTGTACAAATGAGGCTTGACAGAAACCATAACAACTGTACTGTTTTCAACACACTGAAGGTTGTTGGTACTGAAGTGTACACCTCTTAATAGAACGTTAAGATTAGAAAGATATAGTAGAGCAGAGGGAAGAAAGAAGTAGGATTTTCAGGAAACAAAATATTTCGCGAAAATATGCAAAATTTCATTAAATTTTTCTTTTATATTTTAAAAACCTTTTCGCAAAATTTTGCATTATTTCACAAACATTTATTTTAAGAAAGTAAAAGCAAAAACAATGCGTTATTTCAGATGAAAATAAAAAATATGCGTAAGGAGGTGGTAGCTGTTTGTGCTGTACACTGTTTGAATTGTTATTTTCCTTAACTGTAGTCTTACATTAGCTAAAAATTTTCATTGAGTTACAATTACAAATAATATACCAGGGGTGAGAAATAACTATTTTCATTTTTATTGTACTATGTTTGTACTTCACAGTGTAACTCTGCCAAAAAAAAGAAAATAGAAAGAAGCATTGAGACTTGCTTACATGTTCTTCAACTGATATTAAAGTTGTCGCAATAAATAATTTTTTTTTGACATAAAACATACATATAATTTTGATGAAATAGCTTCTGAAAAAACGTTCTCAGCTTCCTCTTTTTTTTGTATTCAAAATCCACTGTCAATGTTTCTGGGATGTAAGATCTACATAATTTATTGATTTACGGGCTATGTTGAAGTTAGGACAGTTTATTAAAAAGTTATTTTTGAAATATAAGTGATAACAAAGGGAAATTCTTTATTGATTGAAATCAAAATATTTTGTGGAATGTTTGTAGAATTTTACAGATATTTTTAACATTGGAGTAACAATAAATTCTATGTAGGCTGAAAGAATTTGACCACAACTATATGCTTCTTCAAAAACTACTACTGTACTCTTGAGGGATTGTACCTAGATCAATTCCTGAAGGTGAATATTACTCCTGAGATTTCATTATTTATTCTTTGAAGAATTAGATCGTTCTAGACCTGACTTTAAACTAATCCTGGAAAATACTTATCTACATGCATTTATCCTACTGAATCAAAGAAGAATTACAGTCAGCAGTGTTCACATGACACACTTAAAAGGTTATTATCTAATAATCCTGATTTATATCAACTCTGTAATATCCATAATGAAAACTAGTTGCTTATAGTCTTTTCCATTTGCAGGAGAATTAAACTGTATACACGGAGAACGGAGAACTATATATTGGAGAACTTGAACCTGATAAACCCCAACAGAAGATATTTGGTTCAGCGTGAGAGAAACCCAAACCGCCATCAAATGTAAGATTTTATTAGAAAGCTTGGGACACCATTGTATTTCGTAAAATATTCTCATGTTCCTTTTGAAACAGATGTTTTAAGCTTTTATAAAGTTCTCATTTAGTCTTTGAAATCCTTTATCTGGTCGTAACATTTCACCAGAAATCACATTTTGAAATATTGGATATTAATGTATTCTGTCAACTAACTTTATCTGGTCACAACATTTTTCCATTCATCACATTTTATAAATATATAATACTAAAAATTGTTATATTTCAGCTTCACAGCTTTGTTGATGATGAAGGAATAAAATAAAACTATAGTCTAGACTTGATTATTTCTGTTTACAGGGTGGTGTATACACATTGGTTAAATAGACTTCTATTGTTCCGAAGTTGAAAATTAAACTGAAAGCTTAAAAGTGCACAAGTTTCTCCTAGTTTAAAGAAAACATCAAGACAGTGAATAAGATAATAATAATTTTACCTTCATGGGGGTATTCGGGATAGTTCTGACTATTCTGCAGGTAGACTGAGATTGTACAGGATAAATAGCAGCACTGAGATCCTTCAAGGTGACCCCAGCCATGATGGAAACCCACAATCTATCGTTGAAGCTCTTTCCCTGATATGGACAAATTTAATCCTAAAAATCACTTTTTTCGCCAAATTTAAAAAACCCAAAACTCTTATAAAAATATTTTTGCTGCTCTAGCTCCCCACACAGAGCATCCCATATCATATTAAATCATTTCCAAGTTTTATAAATACCAAAATAAACACATAATACTCGAAAAAACTAGCATTTTCTGCAAGACGATTTTTATATTAGCCTTTATTTAATTTTTCAAAATAATTCATCCATCTTAAATTCTCCGAAAATCGTAATTTAGACCCTTTGACGATCTATACAGTGTAAAGTGTACAGAAAATCTGAAAAAAATATATTTTATTGGGACACCCTGTTGAAAACTGTAAATTACAAAATATACCTTAAAGGGTTCCAGTACTGTTGTGTACAAATGAGGCTTGACAGAAACCATAACAACTGTACTGTTTTCAACACACTGAAGGTTGTTGGTACTGAAGTTCACACCTCTTAATAGAACTTCAAGATTAGAAAGATATAGTAGAGCAGAGGGGAGAGAGACGTAGGAGTTCAGCGAACAAAATCTTTCGCGAAAATATGCGAAATTTCATGAAAATTTTCTTTGTATTTTAAAAACCTTTTCGCAAAATTTTGCATTATTTCACAAACATTTATTTTAAGAAAGTATAAGAGAAAACAATGCGTAATTTCAGATGAAAAAAAAATATGCGTAAGGAGGTGGCAGCTTTTTGTGCTGTACACTGTTTGTAATTGTTATTTTTTCCTTAACTGTTCTAAAACTTTTCATTTGAGGTTTAACTACAAATAATATACCAGGGGTGTCAAATAAATATTTTTAGTTTTTTGTTGTGGGCCAAAATCTTTACTTCAGAATTGTTAAAATTAATAAATGCTTGATTTTACAATTAAGATGCATTTCATCTATTTATTTTTGAAAAAAAAGAATTCATGCGATTGGATAAGGAAATTGACGTTTTTAGTTACATAAAAAGTTGTCTGGCAAAAGTGTTAATCTGCCAGAGTTGCGCTGACCGCTATAATCTCATTTTTGATTTAAAATTGTACTATGTTTGTTCTTCACAGTGTAACTCTGCCAAAAAAAAAATAGAAAGAAGCACGAAGACTTCAAACAAAGTGCTTACATGTACTTAAACTGATATTAAAGTCGTCGCAATAAAGAACTTCTTTTTGATATAAAACATACATATAATTTTGATGAAATAGCTTCTGAAAAAACGTTTTCAACTTCCTCTTTTTTTGTATTCAAAATCCACTGTACAACGAATCCCTGTCAATGTTTCTGGGATGTAAGATTTACATGATATATTGTTTTAATGGCTATGTTGAAGGGAGGACAGTTTATCAAAAAGTTATTATTATTTTTGAAATATAAGTGATAACAAAGGGAAATTCTTTATTGATTGAAATCAAAATATTTTGTGGAATGTTTGTAGAATTTTACAGATATTTTTAAACATCTTACTTTTCAACAATAGTGTGTTAATTTTAAAAATGTTAAGTTTCTTTGCCCCTTTAAAATATTTCTGTATACTAACTCTGCCATTAAGTATAAATACATTCTAGGAAAGTAATTAGCGGAACAATACCCATGTCCAGAGACCAACCACCTCTTTTTGAGAAAAAAAGCGAAATTTTCTCAAGACAAAACTGGAAAATTTTGTTTTAAAGATTGGAATGCGAAATTTTCGCGAAATGATTTCCACATTTTGCTGGACACCTTAGAGAGAAGTAAGTTAAAGCATGAGGATGAGGAGGAGAAGGGGGTGATAGAGAGGTGGGGCGAGGTTCAATTTAGCGAAAAGGTTGATAAGTGTAAATACGATGAATTAAACTGCACTAACCTCTCCTCCCACCAACCTCTAGTTCTATCTGTCAGTGCACTAACAGAAATATTAGAGGCAGGCACAGTCCCGCTTTCTATAAGGCCTTCCGCTATTGCCTGAAATATTATCTAAAATTAACTCAGACTTGTAAATGTTTAATCTATTTTGCAAGAAAAAAAAAACAAAGGATTAAATGGCCCCCAAAGATATTACATCAGTATATAGATATGTGACATAATTGTCGATCATCTCTTATCAGAATAAAATTTTTTTGAGCGTCGAGCTTAATTTTTTATAAAAAAAACTGTTCAAATGTAGTACGATTTAGAAAAACTATCCGCAATCACTGCAGTAAGTTTCGGGCATTCATCTTTTTTTTCTCGCTTTTAGTGTGGTTATGTTCATCCAGTGTAGGGCAGAAATTTGTATTTGACAATTTGGAGGATAAGTAACCACCTAAAACTCTAAAATCTTAATTCTTTCGTGCGATAATATGTAAATTTCAAATAAAATGATTTTAGATCTATGAGACTGAAACACTTCGGTTAATCCTTCAGAATGATTTCTGGACCCCCACCCTTTCAATTGTGTACACTGTAAATATTATTTTTAATAAAAATATAGTTTTGTATTATTTCAGGGTTAGGTTGGGTAAAGGTAGTTTCTGGGCCGAGCGCTGTGACAAGTACAGACTAGGGGATCAAGCGCTAGGGCAAGAAAAGGCAAGGGATCGATTTTAACTACTTTCAAATAAAAAAACACAGCTTGCATATTATAAGAAAACATAAAATTCAAATATAGGCTCCTGTGATATCTGGTTACTGAGTTATAGCCTCCTGACCTCGCATGCTTTAAAATTGAATGTAACTTTTTTGTTAATTAAGATATCAGGCTAATTGTTACGCTATTTTCTACTTCAGATTTAATTATTATTAAATTATAATATGCTATAGCTGTGCGCACATTTTAAAGAAAATCCATGACACCAAAAACTGGCTGGGTTCATAAGAATGACCCGGGATACATTTTGCCCAGCGTGCTTTTACTTTGCTATATTTTCAAATAATTATACTAAAATAATTGGGAATATGGCTATCTGCTAAATTTGGTAATCAGCTTACAAGATGTAATTGTGTGGATTATATGCATTGTGCATTAAAATAATTTATATTGTACCTGCGCCATTGCACCTCCACCTACGAATCCTACTTTCTCGCTAATTTTACCCATTTCTGGAATAAAATTGTAATCAAAAGTGAAAAATTATCTGAAATTCATAACGTTGAAGGATTTTATTTTAATCAAACTCAAAGCTGATCCCTTCCCAGTTCTCTTAAAAATCACACATTCTAAAGACAAAAAAAAACGTTCTCTAGGAAATCAGTGGCGTACGAGGGGGCGCCCCCCCTGAAAGGCTGAAGGGGGGCTTTTTTGATATTACATCTGCTTGGATTTCCTTCCTCATGCCAGGCAATATACATTCTACAATCTGCATTGCATTGTACTCACCCAGTCCCAAACTAAAAGATTAAGAAACGAAATAAATTATTTGACCTTAAGTTTCTCAATTATGTAATTACTTGAGTCATTTGCGCTGTTTTGTTATGGTGTAGGTGTACTCTGTAGCCTGGCCTGTTTCTTGGTACTGATGTGAGTTCTTCAGATGATGTTTCTTGACTGAATGTTGCATTATGTCTTGTCACTTTATATACAGCTATTCGGTCGCAGAGAGAAGAGTTCCAACTTTGGATAAGTGTCTGGTTACAGTGTAGCCTAGAGTTTCGGAAGCAGTTCCGACCTCGAAGAAAGTTTCGACCCTGTAAAAGGTTCCTGTTTCTTGAAAAGTTCCTGTCTCTGGAAAAGTTCCAGTCTCTGAAAAAGTTCCGGTCTCTGAAAAGGTTCCGGTCTCTGAAAAAGTACCGGTCTCTGAAAAAGTTCCGGACTCTAAAAAAGTTCCGGACTTTGAAAAAGAAACTTACTAAATAGAGTAATTGCGCATTTACAACTGTACAGTGGGTGAGGAGGGGGGGGGAGTGTTATGTCATGGTTGACAATGCATTTGTAGATTTTTGTTTGAATAAATAGACTGTTTGAGTATTTTAGGATAAATATAGAATAAAATTCAAAATTGTATTGGCATAGGAGAAGAAATTTCAATGGACTACTGTTAATACTAAATTTACTATAAAAAGGTAGAAAGGTAGGATCACTTTCACTAAAGTGTTTGCTTCTGCATGTTGTTGTAGTACTATGTTTCTTCTTTGTGCTTCTGTTTATGTTTCTTGATATTGATGTGAGTTCTTCTGATGATGTTTCTTGACTGAATGTTGCATTGTATCTTGTCACTTTATATACAGCTGTTCGGTTGCAGTGGGGAGAGTTCCAACTTTGGATAAGTGTCTGGTTACAGTGAAGCCTAGAGTTTCGGAAACAGTTCCGGCCTCGGGAAAAGTTGCGTCCCTGTAAAGGGTTATAATGATAATGAATATCACTTTCACTAAAGTATTTCTTGCGGCATTCTGCTGTACAGGAATTTTCTTTTATGCTTCTATCTTTGTTTCTTAATTCTTCTAAAAGACCTTTTGTGGTTATTTCTTGACTGAGCAAACTATCGAGTCTTGTCTCTTTATATATGTTTTCTAATTCGCAGGAAGTTTGGGAGATGTTTCGAGTTCGGTTATAATTCCTGACTTTGGTAAAGTTTTCTTCACTGAAGATATTCCGAGCTCTAAAATATATCCGATCTCGGGTTGAGTTCCGATCTCGGGTTGAGTTCCGATCTCGGGTTGAGTTCCGATCTCGGGTTGAGTTCCGATCTCGGGTTGAGTTCCGATCTCGGGTAGAGTTCCGATCTCGGGTAAAGCTCCAGTCTTGGGAAGAGTTCCGAGCGCTGGTAAAGTTCCGANCCCTTAATTTTTATTGACAAAAGGAATTTAACATTTTGACAATGTTATAGAGTTTTTATTTCACGAAATTTACACCCTGTTGAGAGATAGATAGATACACAGAGCTTTCTCATTGTGTAGAACAGAGAATAATTTGCGGCAACGAACATATATTACTCTATCAGTATGACGCGGCCTTCTGGATATTTCGTTCAAGCCGTAACGTCAAAATACACATATTATACTCTAAAAACCTATTTTTTTGGATGCAAATTCCTCATGCTAGCTATATTCCTTTTTTTTAATGAAACGTTAGTGTAAGATATTCTTATTAGTCCCGGAAATCGCGATTTAAAGCTGTAACGCTCAGTCAATTTCAATTAAGATCTTACTAATCTTCATAAAAAATGCGGCCTTCATGAAAAATGTGGACGCGCAGAGGAACCCCATCAAGTACACCGCAGTGGAGAAGAGAGCCATTAAAAATCAACATCAAGAACTTAATCATCATTTTTTTACTTATATCCTGTTTTTTTTGTCTAGAGTTACTTACCTCATCCTTAATTCTGTTTTGTCTAGCTACTTAGCATATCCTTTGAATACATTGCCGGCATTTTGATAATTCAAGTTCGTCCATCGTCAAATTCGACAAATTCGTCTAAAAATTGTCAACTATTCACACTCAAAAAGTCGCTATACACTGTCATTTTTCGACTTAAAGACCTTATTTTTATGTTATTGTCTAGCTAACTACCGTATATTTTGAAATCAGTGCCGGCATTTGCAAATTTCAAGTTTGTCCATCGTCCAATTCGACGAATTCTTCTGAACATTTTCATCTATAAACTCACAAAAGTCGATTTACGCTGTATTTTCGACATAGAGACCTTATTTTTATGTTTTTGTCTATCTAGTTACTGAATCCTTTGAAATCAGTGCCGGAATTTGCAAATTTCAAGTTCGTCCATCGTCCAGTTTGACGAATTCGTCTGAACATTTTCATCTTTAAACTCACAAAAGTCGATTTACGCTGTAAGTTGTCATTTTTCGACTTATAGAGTATAGACCTTATTTTTATTTTTTTTGTCTAGCTAACTACCGTATCTTTTGAAATCAGTGCCGGCATTTGCAAATTTCAAGTTCGTCCATCGTCAAATTTGACGAATTCTTCTGAACATTTTTGTCGATTCACACTCAAAAGATGGTATACGCTGTAAGTTGTCATTTTTCGACTTAGAGACTTAATTTTTTATTTTTTATTTTTTTTTGTCTAGGTATTTGCCGTATTCTTTGAAATTAGTGCCGACATGTGCAAATTTCAAGTTCGTCCATCGTCCAGTTTGACGAATTCGTCTGAATATTTTCATTCATAATTTGACAAAAGTCGCTATACGCTGTAAATTGTCATTTTTCGACTTAAGAGACTTAATTTTTCTGTATTTGTCTAGCTACTTACAGTATCCTTTGAATACAGCGCCGGCATTTTGAGATTTCAAGTTCGTCCATCGTCAAATTCGACGAATTCTTCAGAACATTTTATCTATTCACACTCAAAAGTTGGTACATGCTGTAAATTGTCATTTTTCGATTTAGAGACTAAATTTTCCAGTTTTTGTCTAGCTAATTACCATATCCTTTGAATACAGGCCAGGCATTTTGAGATTTAAAGGTCGTCCATTTTCAAAATCGAAAAAAAATAAGTTTACAAAGTATATAAAATTCAGGATATATGTAAAAAAAATAGATGATGAAGTTCTTGATATGTTGATTTTCTATGGCTCACTTCTCCACTGCGGTGTTCTTGATGGGGTTCTTCTGCGTGTCCACATCCACATAGATAAGTAGGATATCTCTGAAAACCATTTTTCCCGAGAATTTGGATTTTTCAAAATAAAGGTGCTCAAAATCGTTCGACCAGAAAAGAATACCAGACAGTTTTGATTTAAATCAAATTTTGAGAAAATGGCGAAATTGACTGGCCTTAAAATTCAATGTTCATGCTCAATATCGGAAAATTAACTAAGATTCACCGGTATAGTTTTCTATTGTGTGCTTTTTGGACTCCTTCCTCCTTGTTTTTACAGTACATGCATCTCATATATGTAACAGTTGAATTCGAGGTCATGTACATTAAAAAAATTTGATGGGAGTGGANAGTGTGACTTATGGTAAGCGTAACTTATGGCAAGTGTTACTTATGGCAAAGATATTATGGCAAGTGTAATTATGGCAAAGATATTATGGCAAATGAAACTGAGCCAGGACAATCTTGTTTTTTTGTAAAAAGAAAATGTCTGAAGAACGAAGCAACATCAAACCTAATGATTATTAATCTTTTTTTTTCAGACATATGCGTTGATAGAGCAAAACTACTAAAGCAATTGCATTTTATGAAGAAAAATTGAGGTGAGTTTGTAATTTTCCAAGAATAATCGGAAATCTCAAAAACTTTTAAAATCTTAGTTTCTTGATCCGCTNCGAAAACAAAAAGAAATATATTTAAAATTGTTTCGACCTCTTCTTTGGTGTTTTTTTTTAAACCTTCTCAAAGAACTGACCTTGAAAACCCAATACCTTTACTTAAAAGCCATTTTTAGTGACCAGAGGTGAATTCAGGAATGTTAGGTACTTTCCCTAGCGGCAACTCCCCAAGGGTATTTGTAGTAAATGCCCTATTCCATAAAGGTTTCTCAAACACGTATCTATCCAAGTATAACTCAGATTCTCTTGACTATCATTTCAACACACTGCTACTATTCAGTAAACATTCAACGCCACTACCACTGGGCACGATCTCATTAGCTATTAATGTCAACGCAGACACTAGCAATTAATTGATCAATGTCTCAACCAGGACATTATTCACACAAATCAAATCATCAAATCATGAGTGTTAGGGAAAGCTTTAGGCTCCATTCTACAGCCTGGAGTTTCAAGTCCTTCATGAGAAATGGTTTTTCAGGCCAGATTTGTTTACTGTTTTTACCATTAATGAATTAAATGCTTAAAATAGGCAAAATGATCCCAGCAACACGACCAAGTTTAAGCCATGCAACCATTTTTAGCTCCCTTTCATTAATGGATGACCATTTGTATGCTAAATATGAATGAAGGGGAGCCCCCCAAGGGTTTGTTTTGTTACTGATATGCATTCTTATGAATACATAGCAGGGAGAATTGTGTATAATCTATATATAAATTTAGCTTGTCTGTTTGTTTGTATCCAATAAACGTCAAAACGGCTGAACCGATCAGGCCCAAATTTTTTGTGGGACATCACGTGACCATAGGGAAGGTTTATGAATGATAAAAATTAAAAATAAATGTGTTGTAAAGGTTTTAATTTTGTAAAAAGATTTAAATTCTTGAAAATCCGCGAATTTTTTTTTAAAAATCCGC